TATAGTATGTACAGCGCCACCTATCGGGTAGACCTGTCAAAATATTGAATACAGAGCCTCTTTAAGTCGAATGGTCATCAACTGGAATATTGCTATCTCTCCTGACATACTAGTGGTGACACCACAGTATTCTTTCATCTCAACAGTGTTGAGTCAGGAGGTTTATCTTGTGGGCGTTAATAAGACACAAATAATGAGTAGGACAAAAGCCTTGCGTTAACAGAAACCAGCCATGTTTATTTAGTTCCCCTCCCCCTCCATAGGTGGCAGCACATGCCAGTGCTGATAACTTGTTGACACAAGAACAGATAATTATGATAATACAACACCCGGTAGTGCTATACTGATTCCCGATAATGTTGTTGATTAATTCTATCCTAGAAAGTAAGAAACTACTGCGCACCCGACTCCATTCGATAAAACATGGCAATACAAGTTAAGATTCAAATTGAAGAATTATTCAAACCATTTAATGAGTGATAGATGAACATCGACAGTTTCGAAGCATCCAATGTTTATTATATATATTGCTGTGGATGTGTGAGGCCATAATAAAAATATTGTTTGTTTGCCCTCACCCGTCAAAAAGGGGCCGACTCAAAATTTTTTTTTTATCTTTCCCATTCTTTTTTTTTTACAAAGTGTATCACTGTACATTATAGAAATCTGTAGGCAATACATGTACTAAGCAAAACAAACATTAAACATCCACACAAGCACACCCGAGCATGAAGACATGCACCATGCTGACTTTGTAAAAAGACCCCTAAAAAAAATAAGCCTACCTATACCTACCCAAACTTTTCAGCTTGGATCGGGTGAGGGCAAACAAATGTTTTTTAATTGTGGCCTGATGCACGAATGATAAACGCAGCTAATAAGAAAGTATAGTTAACAGTTTTTGAATAAATTACTCCGTGTGACTCCCTGAAAATTCTGCTATACTAACTAGTTGGTTCCAGAGCACGGCATCGCGGAATTACCGTATTTTTTCAGCAAATGTTCTAAGAAAATTTCGCAGACGTGCATCGCAAATGTCCTGCACTGTCCAAACGTGTAATCACAAGCATGTGTGCCGCGCTTGCGGCTAGTGCGTACATGTATGACCAGCAGCGGTGTGTCGATTGATGGGCGGGCCCGATTGGTTTCTGTGGTGCGAAGTGATGTCATGCGCGGAGCATGTTTATGACTGCGTAGGGGTGACGGGCGCCTGGAAGGGGAGAACGAAAGTAAAACCCTTTCCGGGGGCTCCCCCATCCTATCATTTTAAACTGTGGAGATTATTGAACTGTGTGTATTTGGCAGATAACAAACATATATGTAAAATGTACCAGTGTTCCTGTATTAAGTACCAGAGTTGGATTCTGTTGGTCTCATATGTTCAAGTACACGTATGACAAATGATTGCACAATGCTAACTTGCTAAGGTTATAAACTTGATTTGTTAGAATGAAACCCACATTTTATTTTTGTTTGCAATAATTTCTTTTTCCAGCACCATGTTTACAGCTTTACCACGTTTGAATGTGGCTTTCTGAAATAAATGTTTCCCTACGATCAAGCCTTTAGGATTGTTCCTAATTTAAGACATTTGGTTTTATTCATCCAATTCTCAGAAATTAAGGACTGGTGGATTCTCATAAGGGCTAGTAGATTTTTCTTTTCACTAGCCCTGCTGGCTAGTGATTCACTTTGATTAATTTCGACCCCTGCCTTTAGGGGCAATCAATTATTGAGGCACATGCGTAGGCACATGTCCCTAAACCAAGATTTCTTGTTAGTTAAATTTTAATATTTAAACTTCAAAATAAGCACACGCGTAAATATCTTTAGTTTTGAACTTCAGACTGCGGGCTGTCTCATTTTGCTGCAGACTCCCTCTTTTTGAGGGCAAGGAGTCCGTTGGACTCCCTTGTTCAAAAGTTAATTTCTACCCCTGTTATAGGGTATGTGATATCACGCATTATCACACACATATATATGTATATATATATATATATATATATATATATATATATATATATATATAGTACTTACGTTACCTTACTTACTAGTAGTATTAGTAGAGAACGAAGTAAACGAA